GGGGCTTCCGACCCTGACCGCCAAGGCCACATCGGGCTAAGAAGGAAACATCATACCCGTAGAAAGACCACGATACTCGATAGAAGCACGCCAGTCCACTAGAGTGTAATAAACGACTTCTGGATAAACACACAGACACACACCCTCTTTCCTCCCCACCTCCCCCCCCCTCTCTCTCTCTCACTCTCTCTCCACGGTCCGCTTTGACCATGTATTGTCCACGAGGAAATACAAAATGTAAAACCAACCCCAATGGAAGTCTCTTAATTAGAAGATGAAATTATGCACGCATCACTCACCTCCACCCCCTGACATCTGTCGCTTGTGAGTGGGCGGCTCGTCCCTTTGCATCCTGTAGAGTGGAAAAGACAACATTATTATCTTGGTGCTCATATTTAATTAGTTAGAAAACAGTAAAGAAGTCTCAAGGAACAGACAAAGAAGTCTCAAGAAAATCCCCCCAACTCTTTTAAAAGAAAAAAATCGGAATGAGTTAAAAGTTAATCTGAGAGTTTTACGGCGCTTGCAACACAAATATGCAATATAAATTAAATGCTGAAGAATAAACGTATTAGTACTCGTACTAGAGAGTAGCATACAAAGATAAAAACGAGGAGAGATTTATAAGGATATCAGACGTCTGACAGTAAAGAAGGGGCAAACCGTATAAGAGCACCCGTTAACCACCCACTCTAAATGAGTCATATAAGGCGTTCGTCTCATTCGACACAATGGGACTAGTAAGTTTTAGTAAAAGTAAGTGTACGAGTTTAACGTCCCTTTCAACAATACTGAGGTGGGACTAAACTTAAACAAAGGGAAACAGCCATGAAAAAATTACCCTGACACTTAAGAGACAGTACGGTACTCGAACTTGGGTCTCTGGGCTCCCATACAGGGAGATTGGCTCCCTCCTCGCCACAGGACACCCCCCCCCCCAAATCCAGAAGCAAAGTCGCCCACATCCTTTCTCCACCAATTCAGACTGAACCCCCGTCATTTCTGGACAAATGCGGGCGACCATCCTCGGACAGACGACACGTAAGAGTAACTTTTAAGCTCAATTACTGGCCCCAATGACCCCTATTAAGACATCGGCTTTTTCCGAGGCAAGCATTATGCTCACGCGCTGAACCGCAAGCATCGACACAGGGACGTGGGTGGAGGGGTGGGCTGGAAGGGTATTGGTTCCAATCCTTATTATTGTACTGCTTATAGGGGGCCGTTCTTGAAAGAGGATTGTTTGTGGAGTTTTCCTGGCCGTCGATTCTTTTGGTACGGTCTCATCGGATTAGTTTTTTGTTTGTTAGTTGGTTTGTTCTTAGTTTTAGTAAGAGTTTCACGGCACTTGCAACACAAAGAGGTTTCATACAAGCTGAAGATTAGAAGCGTTACAAGGGAGTAACAAACATGAAAAGAAGGAGGAGAGATCAGGACAAAAGATGTTTGATAGAAAAGAAGGAGTAAAATTACACCAGAGCACCTGCCAACCACCCGTTGACAGATGCTTGATAGGAAAGACAGAACAAATCACTAATGAGCACTCTAGAAGGGTATTCAATCGAAAGTACAGCAGATTAAACGACAACCGTACGGTGTACTAACCCAAAAGATATTATTATGTACTATATCAATGGAGTCGCCACCATTATGAGTAAAACATAGTACATTTAAACAATAACGACCATCTAGTGCAGGAATAAAAATGACAAGTAAAAAAAACCAAAAAAAAAAACGCACAAGAAAAGTAGAAACAGAGGGAAAGAAAAGAAGTACGGCCAACTCATGTTGCCCTCCAACAACCCAAATGTGTTTCCCCCCCAAAAAAAAACCCAACAACAAACAAACAAAAAAACACCAAAAAAACAAAACAAAACAACAACAACAACCCATCACCAACAACACAATAACAACAAAAAACCACACCAACACCAACAACAAAATAACAACAAAAACCCCACCAACACCACCAACAACAAACGGACCGGCCACAAAAACTCCCAGGAATTAAGACTGGGCCAAAGACAAGCGCATGAGTCATTTCAGCGTTGAGAACGAGTAGGATCACCGCGGGGAAAAAAACAACCAAAAAACATTTACTTTACCAGAAGCGCTCTTTTATATATTCATGCAACCCGGAAGCATACAGCTTCTACTGAGATACACTAATCCTTTCAGTTGGGAATTATTAGAAAGAAGGGTATTTAAAAGACATTCAGAGAGAAAAGAAACCACTCGATCTTTGCAACACGGAAGTACACTGATTCATGTCGTAATTTAAGGCGATTAAGGTAGGAGGAGACAATGAGATGAAAACAACATTCACCCAAAGCCGCGTAATAAAAAATAAACAACGACGTAAGGGGCCTGGAGATATAGAATTCTGCTGGTTTTTTGTGTGTGTTTTATTCCACTTTTAGTAAGAGTTTTATGGCACTTGCAACACACACACACACACACGCGCACACACACACACACACACACACACACACACACACACACACACACATGTCATATAGGGGCCGAAGATTAAAGGTGTTACTAGAGAGTAAAATACAAAGAAAGGAATGAGGAAAGACTATCAGGGCAACAGATGTTTGAATAAGAAAGAAAGCGCAAACCACACAAGAGCACTCGCCAACCATCCATGGGTCCTGCCTTAGGCTTCTTTACTACTATGATAGCCTACGTTCAGCCCAATGCCGACGGTTGACTGTCTATACAGTTGGCGTGGGTTCTGCTGGCTCTATAACCGATTTTAGCTCAGGGAAAACAACCCAGACCCAGACAGCTTGTGTAGAGCCAAAGAGAGACACATGCTATAATATACGATAACGGCTACTTAGTGTGGTAGCAAATGGCAGACAGAATGGACTGATACGAAAGGGGTATATCCTATTTGTTTTAGTAAGAGTGTAAACGGCACTTGCAAAACAATTACGTCATATGATCCGAAGATTAGTGGTGTTTACAAGAGAATAACAAACACAAAAAGGAGGGGAGATAAAGACGATAGATATTTGATAGAAAAGAAGGAGCAAACTACATCCGAGCACCCGCAAACCACCCACAGCCATGTCATAAAGGTAGGATTCACCAGTGGTGCCTTCAAAACACATGGGGAACTACAAACAACATACTACATACCGTAAATTTCAGAGCCACCAAAACCAATTTCTGGAGGTTTCCGGATAACGCCATTATTCGAATAAAGACATCAATGAACATCGTACGATGTAACACGCATCAAACATGTGAAAAGATCAACAATAATTTGAACAAAAACAGACAAGAAGGGAACTGAAAGCCTCCGTGACCAGAAGAAAAGACAAACCTGAAATTGCAGAAGGCATCCTGAAAATTCCCCATTCCATGTTGTAGCCGAGCAGAGCGGCCAGAACGGGCGGAAGGGCCCTATACACAATGCAGCTCTAGCTCCTTCCTCCTAGCTCGCCCGTCCGCCGCCCATAGGGCAGTACCCTGGACCTCCTCCTACCCTGTACAGGCCAAGTGATCTCTCCTCCCCCTCCCCTTGCATCCCCCTCCCCCTGGCAACCGTGCATACATAATCCGATTGACACCCGACA